GCCCACCGTTCCTTTAGGATCAGCCATGCACATCCTGTCTGGGGGTCACACAGGGACCTCTGAGGTCCTCTGAGGCCCAAGAGGTGGGAACACCACGTCTAGGAGTGCTCCTGCCCAGGCTGAGGTGCTGCTGTGGCCCTTATTTTGCACCAGGAAGTGGTCCCTCCCTGGGTTGGCATGAGGAAGTCACAGGGTGGTCCAGGCTGTCTCTCAGCCTTGCTCAATTCCACCCCTAGGACCCCTGGCCACCTGGGCAGGCACTTCATAATACTTGACTGGGACATGGCGGAGCTCCTGCCCCCTAGTGGGTGGAGGCCAGAGATGCGGCTACCATCTGACCCTGCAGAGAGCAGTCCCCCAGCGTCAGGTCAGCAGGGTCAGGAGCACCAGGTGGAGGAGCCCTAGAGGCAGCCTCTGCAGCCAGGTGTGGGCATCGGGGGCTAGAAGGCGGGCAGCGTCCTGGTGACGGGTGGAGGCAGCCATCGCTCCCTCACTCCCTGTGAACACAGTGGCTTCTGCTCTCTGGCCTCAGAGCCCAGCAGCCAGCTCCGTCCACGCCCTCAAGGGCCCCCCCAGGCCGGGACTCAGACAAGTTGCCAACGAGCACTTAGCTGTGGGTCGGGGCCTCATGTGAGACGGGACGTGGTCTGTCCTCTCCGGGGACTGGAGGGATATTCCCAGAGACAGGGCCCTGCCAGGGGGTGACCTGGCCAGGGGCGGAGATGGGCGGGGCCTCCTCAGCGCCCGCCTCCTCCCTGCTCACCTGCCCTTCTCACCAAGGTGGGGCTCAGCCCGCCTGCAGGTCCTTTCTCATCTCTCACCTCCCAGCACCCTGGCCTGCCGCACCTGGTCACGCTGTCCCCCATGGAGCCCACACCTGAGGTTGCTGACAGCTGCTTGATGCTCTGAGAGGAATGTCCCCGTCACCACCTGTTCCTGTGCTGAAGTCCTAACCCTGAGGTGATGGAGTTCAGGGGTGGGGCCTCGGGAGGCCATCAGGGCCTGAGAGTGGAGCCCTCCTGAGTGGGTCACTGTCCTTGGAGTAGAGAAGCACCTTGGCCCTCCCACCACGGGAGGCCACTGTGAGCAGGGGCCACGTGGACCAAGAGGGCCCTCGCCAGACAGACCCACTGGTGCACTGCTCTGCCCACTGCCAGGGCGGAGAAGGGTCCTGCCTCCTCCATCCTCAGCGCAAACCTCTGCCCCGAGCTGGGTGTGATGGTGGACAGGGCGGCCCAGGAAGGTCTTCTCTGTGGGTTGATTTCATACGTCACCTGCCTGAGCCAAGGGCTGCCCAGGTGGTGGCCTAACAGTATGTGGATGTGTCCTGCCCCTCCTCCCACATGGGCATCTCACTGGGGCTGTGTGGGGGGAGAGGCCTCCACTGGAAAGAGCTGGGGCTTGGATGTCCATGTGTTGGAAGCTTGTCCCCAGTGTGGCCATGTTGGGAGGTGGGGGGCCTACTGGGACCTGATAAGGTCACTGGGCATAACCCTCAGAAGGAATGAATGTAGTTGTCATAGGACTCCAGTTGATTGTTGTAAAAGAAGGTCATTATCAAAAGAGGGGCCATGTTGTCATGTAGCCGGAAGTCCCTCACCAGGCCAAACAGGTGAGGCACCCAAGCCTGGACTTTCAGCCTCCAAAGCTGTGAGCTAAAGAATCCTGCTTCTTTACAAAGTATCCAGTGTCAGGTGCTTTGCTACATCCTCGGGAAATGGTCTAAATACAGACCTTGAGTAGAAGCAAGAAGAGAGTGAGAGAAGGTTGGAGGATCTGGGAGGGGGAGCGAGGCTTCAGGAGGGGACCAGGAAATGCCGGAGAGTTACTCACTTACCCATTCATCTGTGCACGTGTCCTGAGGCGCTTTCTTCATTCTGCAATCAAAATAACCTGATAGCAATTGCTATGGCAAAGGCTTATGAGAGCAATGGCTTCTTAATCTCCTCGAATCACGGCCGCTCTATTATGAAGATGCTATTATCTCTTTTACTAAAGGGAGAACCGAGGCTGCTGGGTGTTAGAAAACTTGCCCAAGAGCCTTTATTTAGTATTCACTGGTTTACACCTTCCCTGCTTGGTAACAAGGTCTCTGCCCTTGTCATCAAGAGAAAGTCACTAGGGTGGTTGCTAATCCAATGCATCTGTTGTCCTTAAGGTGGGAGACCTGGGGGGAGACTGCAGAGAGGGTCTGCAAGCTGCAGACCACAAGGGCACCAAGGACTTGCGTGCTCTCACCATAAAGAAACGGTGAGTGTCCCAGGAGCTGAGTTTGGCCGTCTCCAACACGATGCAGCGTTTGCAGGTGTTGAACAGCACGTGGTTCCCATCCGTGTCCTCAGTTTTATGTTTTAGGTAGCAGTTTAAAATACATCTGATTTAAATTAAAACAGAGTAGACTCGTTTTCAGAGCTGGTTTGGCTCTCAGAACACTGGAAGCCCCAGACCTTCCCCTCGCCCCGCCCCTTCCCTTGTGATGGACATCTCACTTTGGCATGGAACATGGGTTACAGTGAAGAAATCATTATTGGTACTTTACCGATGAGTCAAGTCCATAGCTGATTTGTGCCGCCCACTGCCCTCCTCCCTGGCCCCCCAGGACATCACATCGCCTTCAGCCTTGTGTCCTGGCTTCCCTGGGCTGGGCTGGCCTGGGTGGTTCTGAGCTGCAGGGGCAGGTGACTTGTAGGGCGCCCTCTACTGAAGCTTCCTGGTGCTGTCCTCCTGTTCAGACGGGGACCAAGCATTTGGAGAAGAATTGAGCTGTTCACTTTATTCTCTCAAAAATGGAAGGCCAGCGTGCATCTGGGACCTCAGCAAGTAAAAAAGTAAATTAAAGGACTGATTTGGAGTATGGGCCAGGTCTCTGGGAGAAGCTCAGCTAAAGGCTTTTCAGCAACGGTCCTGGATGAACATTCAAGTTTATCAGTGGTCAGAGAATAAATAGCGATTCTCAATTCCACCACCTATTAGAGGCAGACTCACTCTCATCACAGAGATATGCCCCTAGCACACTAAATCTGACTGTTATATTGATCACCTATTGGTATTTAATAGCGATGTCTAGTCATGAAAAAATATTTGCATTCCATTCTGACGACATTTTTCATTTGTGACTTTAAAATTCTCCTATGACTTTAATTTGGGGGACAATTAGTGTTAGGAAAATAAACTGAATTTTTATTTAACTTTCCAACTTGTAGATCCTGTGCTGTGTGAATATACAGCCAAGATTGTGAATAAAGCAGAGCTGAGCAAGTGTCTGCTGAGAGGTAAGGGAACATTCAAGTCTAAAAGTGAGGTGTCCCTGGGACTCTGGAGATATTGGGATCCTTGGAACAGACACGACGTCTTCCAGGAGGATTGGAAACCTGTGTTCAAGGAAAACTGACCTAGTATTTAGAATGAAAAGCACATGCACACACTGGGACACACGCATTGGTCACACACATGCTAAGCCCAGAGACAATATCCAAGGAAGGGAACCCAGTTCCACAACCCTGACCCCTCCAAGGCATGAAGACACGGAGTTGATTTATTTTAGGCATAAACAGACATCCAAAGATTTGCATTTCAATTTTGTTCAGAGACAATTCTCAGAAGAAGTGTCAAGTTGCTGTGACAAGGAGTAAGATTTGTTGTGAAATGCTCCTTGGAGAAGAGAGGAGACTCGGGCTACAGTTGAAAACTCAATTCCTGACGGCAACGAACAACAATACCTGGGGTTGAACTCTGGGGCACTCGGCCACGGAGCCACATCCCCAGCTCTATTTTGTGTTTTATTGAGAAACAGGGTCTCACAGAGATGCTTAGCACCTCACTTTTCCAGAGGCTGGCTTTGAACTCGTGATCCTCCTGTCTCAGCCTCCCAAGCCCTGAGATTACAGGTGTGCACCCCGAAACCCAGCACAAATGCAGTCTGGATTCGCTTCTGTGGAGTGTGCCAAATAAAACCAACACTGTCTCCTTCCTTCCTGTCTGTGCTGAGGTTATTGCATGGCTCCCAGGAAGTTGAAGCTCAAAAGAGAAGTAGAGAGAGATTGTGGTGAGTCATGGAGACTTGCAGGTTCACAGAGCATGAGTCAGCCAAGCCTGGGTAGGTTTCAGGAGTTTCTTCTTAGTAATCATCAAAAAAGTTGTGCACAAAGAAAAACAGCTTCCAGCAGGTGAAACAGAGCACGTGGGCACAAACCAGACCCCCATCTCCTGGGCAGAGCCCACTGAAGGTCTCCAGGGGCACCAACACCACTGGTCAGATGGGGACAGGTTTGGTGTGGACATGTCACTGTCACCTGTCAGGACAGGCATGCTACGACCTTCAGCTGCCCTTGGACATTTGATGTTTCTGGATCTTCATCTCCTGGACCCCACATCTGCTGTCACAGCCTCTCCCACAATGTGTGCATCAGGTCCAGGAACCACCACCATGGAATCAAGGTTCTCGCAAAAGTCCCAGTTGTCACCCGTCCATTATGACTTTATGCTTTTTTAAATGAAAAAAAAAATGCACCGAACTCTTGCCTGGGACATCTGCGGTAGACGTGGCTCTGGTGGACGGACTCCAGGTGTCCATGAAGAAGGCCCGTCTCCCCCTCGATTTTCCTTGCTGCTGTTGGTTTTTGTTCCTCTGGTCATTGACTTTATTCTACCTGGTTTCAGATCTCGGGTTTATAAAGGTTGTGGCCGAGGTGTCCACTCTAAGACGAGGACCTGGGGCCACAGAAAGATCAGGCAGCTTTCCTTCTGTAGCGGAGCCCCCTGTGCACCCAACACAGGTGGGTACTGTGGTGAGGCCCCTCTGCTGCCCACCAGGGCTACAGGGCTCAGCTCTGCCTCCCGGGACCCATCCTCTTTTTCCACCCAGTGCTTCCTGCTGCCTGGCTCTGACCCTGCCCACCAGAGACTCTCCTGCCTCAAGACTTACAGCCTCACTAAGGAGGAAAGAGAGCGACAGGGCACACTTGGTGTTGTTAATGCTGTGGTTGGTGATATTATTCTACTGTCCCCTGTGCCTCGTCTTCTCAGAAAGCTGGTGGGGGGCTCCTGACTCTCCCCATCTTTATCCAATTCTTGCTCCAGGAGGAATTCCTCCCAGGAGGATGCACAACAAGATCAAGGAGGCTGTTTTACCTAACACCGGCTTCACCTGGTGGTGTGAGGCTTTGGGGGTGACGGGGCTTGCCCAGATGGGGTGGGGGAGGCGAGAACCCCCCCTGCCTTCCTCTCCCCAGATATCACGAGTTACCATTCCTGCAGGGTACATCAGGTCCACTCTGGCTGTGCTGGGCCGCACTTTGCCCTGGGAGGGACTGTGACGTTTTGCTATTTTGATAAACAAGAAGGAACAACATTAGACCCCAGAAGAAGGTTAAAGTTTCCTTGGGGCTTCTCACCAAGTTCCCAACTGTCCCTGTGTGGTCACTGGATGCCACCACTCCTGACTAAAGGGACAGGTTTCAGATGACACAGTACAAGTCATGGAGGATCCAAGAAGGGGTGGGCCAGGCCCAGTCGGGGGTTCCCTGAGGAAGGAGCGGAGTTCCTGAAGGTGGAGGCATCTTCTGGATGATGCTACTGAGATTCATGTGGTCCACCTGTGATGATCAGAGTTTGTAAGGTTTATGAACAATAACAAGATTTAAACCCTGGACTATAACAGCTTTAGAGCCAGGTTTGGGAGTTCATGATTTTGATAACTGGGTGCTGATATGAGTCACCAACCTAGCCACAGACTTCCCTCTGCACGGTGCAATCCTGGGGTTTTGAAGGTCTCAGACAACCATCTGTCACCAGGGACATCCCGTTCCTGTACCCTGTTTGCATACAGTCCCATATTGCTTAAGGACCCAGTTAGGTTTGGGAAATGTGTCCTGGGGCAGTTTGTTATAGTGTGAACAGCCTAGAGTGCACTCACACCCACCCACATGGTGTAGCCTATGACCTGCCTAGTCACACACACACACTCATGCACACTCATCCACATTATAGAACAAGTTATATTATGTGTAACAAGTTCCTCTAGAAACACTAGGACTGCAAACAGTTACATTATGTACATGCACACAAACACTATATGTAAAAAGTGACATTGTATATATGGAGCTTATTGCTTCTAAGGTCACTATAAACAAAAATCAAATTACAAACACACACACATAAAAAAAAAACAAAGAAAATGATGTTCAAGACACACAGGAACTGGCTGTGGGAGGCTGCAGGCGTGAGTGGCATTCTGCTCCACGGGAGTCAGTTTTTTGTAAGTGGAAGTGCAGGCTGAAATGATGACGTGAAGTTGAGCACAGGGAACACGTCAGCCCCAACACAGGGTCAGTCACCTCTGTACCATGCACTGTATGTCACCTGGCTTGCGGGTGGCTGGGGGGACGTGGGCTGGTTTACACTGGCCCCACCAGAAACGTGGATAATGCCCTGTGGTAGGAGGTGGGGATGGCCGCACGGTCACTAGACGATGGGAGTGTCCAAGCCCTGTGGTGACCCAAGGGACCACCCCCACCCTGTGATCCCCTGGCAGGGAACGCACCTGCACTGAGTTGGGTCTGGGTGTCTGACGCACACCTTGCAGCCATCCACACGGCCCTGGGGAAGGAAGTCTGTCACCCTTCACTGGCGGTCACAAGTGCTGTCCCTGAACACGTCCACTGCCCCCACACAGGGAGGGAAGAACAGGGTGGAGGGGCCAGAGCAGCCGGCCAGAACCCAAGAGGACACCAAAAACGTGGGCCCAGCCCTGGAAGGAAGCCCACATCAAAGGGAAAGGAGACACCAGGTAAAGTGCTCTCTGCTCGACTTTAATGTGCTTTTCTGTGTCTCCTGGCTTACCAGCAGCAAGTCTGTGTCATAAATATAATATAGACACAGGAAAAATTAGAGAGTCCAGTAATGAGCTCAAGGCAACAGGAGGCCATAAAGATAATGACCTCCTCCCGGGGCCCCTCCTCCACGACTCCCGCCCTGAGGGGCAGAGTCCACCCTGGGGAGGACCAGCACCAGGAAGAGGGGACAGGACAGAGCACATCTCAGAAGACGCAGGTCGGGGGAGGAGAGAGGCTGCGGGCTCTGGGGGGACACTCTTCCTGGGGACCCCAGCAGTTCATGGACCTTCCCGTCCCCAGGCGCGGCCCCTGCAGGCCCCTGTTCCTTGTGGGTAAGTGGGACCAGACCTGTTTTCCAGGACCCAGGGAAGGTCAGCGGGGGAGTCAGGCTGGGAGGGAGCCAGAAACCTCCCCATCCAGGGCCAGCCCCACTCCCAGGACGGTGGGGAGGGAGGGAAGGACCCCACAGGACCCTCCTGGGCTCACACACCTGGGCACCCCCACCGTAGACACAGGCCACAGACGCACACAGACCACAGGACGCGTGCGCAGGCACATGCAGCCCCGGGGACACACGCAGCTCTGAGTCCCAACACCACAGAGCCCTGAACCTGGACCACCCGCGGCCTGCCACCACCTCTCCCTGTCGCCTGTCTGCCTGGCCCTGCGCCAGCTCCAGGTGGATCCCACCCAACCCCTCCTTCCCAGCACCCTCTGGGCCCCCAACCTGTACAACGGTCATCCTTCACTGGAGGTCACAAGTGCTGTCCCTGAACATGTCCAGTGCCCCCCAAGCAGGCCTGGAACATGGCCAGTGCCCCCACCCAGGCCTGCAGCAGGGTCTCAGGCTCCTTTGCCTCTTCCACAGCCAAGGCGTGGGCTGCACAGAGCAGGGGACACCTGCCAGAGTCCTGGGTGGTAACAGGTCCCACCCCCATGCACACCCACTCCCGAGAACCTGGACGAGTGTGGACCGTCTCAGAGTAATAGCACCCCGACAGCCCCTGCCGAGCACCCCGGGTTCCTCTCAGGGTGCTGGGCACTCAGGGCTCAGCGAGACGTTCCCGGCCCTGCACCCCCTGGACCTCTAGGCACAGGGTGACACAGGGACCTGTCACCAGGCCCTGACAGCCCCAGTGTCCCCAGCTGGGATGAAGGAAGTCCAGGGGGCTGGAGAGCCTGGCAGGGGCTCCTGACCCAGGCTGGGGGAGACATCAGAGCCGAGAAGTGAGGGTGCAGCGGGGAGCAGGCGCTGTGTCAATAAGGGGAACAGCGGGGGCCAAGCTGGCACTGGGAGAGCGCGGCGCATCCAGAGAGCCCCATGTGAGTGGGCAGAGCCCGAAGCCACATCTTCTCAAAACTAAGTACATGGAGGACTGAAGGGGTGCAGAGGTGTGGGGCAGGTGTGGGGCAGGTGAGGCCCAAAGGAGGCGACCCCTAATCACCTCTTGCTGAGAAAGTCCTGAGGATGTGCTGGCACTGACCCTGAGAACCCTGGGGCCACAGGAGGCACTGGAGACGACAGCAGGGACACGATTGGGCTTTGTTGAGGTCCACGTGACGGTCGTGTGAGGGTGGATGGGAGCTGAGGGACCGAGGGGGAGGGCGGGCTAGGAGATGATGAAGGAAATAATGGACCAGGCAGCGGCCAAGGGCAGCGGACAGGAAGGGCCAGGCCAGGGATCGCTCTCCCTCGCACACAGCGTTCCGGGGGCCACCCCCTGGCGGCTCAGGACTCAGTCTCTCCTCTTCTCTTACCAGTGGCAGCCAGCCTGCTGGCCTGTGGGTCCCGCCAGGCCTCCGGGCAGCTCTTCATCAGCCCAGACTCTCTCACTGCCGTTGAGAGACACAGGAATGTCCTGGCCCTGGAGAACGTGCCCGAGGGTGTTCAGGAATACAGCTGGTACCGGGGCGCAGAGGACAGCGCGGACACCATGATCATCAGCTTCAGGCCCCCCGATTCCAAGGTCCCTGGGCCCTTGTACAGCAACCTGGTGACGGTGACCAGCAAAGGCTACCTGTCCTTCAGGATGTGCACCTTAAATGACACGGGGAACTACACGGTTCGGGTGGACACTGGCAACGGTACCCAAAGAGCCACTGGCTGGCTGGAGGTCCTAGGTGAATGGCAGGTGGTCCCTTTGCCCACCGCAGATGGGAGCTGGACCCGAGGGCTCTAGGAGGGGACACCTTGGAGATCATGCAGTCTGAGTGTCTCCGGAAGGCACGGCACAGGGAGCCTTGGCGATGGCCGCCCAGCTTCTCCTGCGCACAGGGCCGCTCGCCACCTCCAGGGCTCTGGTTTCACTGTGGGAAAGTGTGACTTTACTGCTGCATAACACCCAGCCACAGGCCAGCTGCCTAAGGCCACCCCTGTGTTACCACACAGCTCCTGCTGGACAGAGGTCCACGTGACGCTCAGCTGGGTCTCTGTTCTGAGTCTCCAAAGGACTCTGGCCAGCGCTGTTCCCTTGTAGAGGATTAGCTGGGGGAGAAGCCAGTCCAGGCTCTTGCAGGCTGATGACCGAATTTGTTTCTTGTGGCTGCTTAGCAGAGGCCCTGGGGTCCTAGAAGACACTACGATTACCCGCCTTGTGGCTCTGTCCATGGGCATTTCTCATATGGCTTTAGGGTCAGTGGGAATCTCTCTCTAGTTGGCTGAGACGGAATCCTATATAACAAAAAGCAGTGATAGGATGTCACCCCCCACCTATCTACAGATGGGACACAAGCCATCAGCCCCTCCATGCTTCAGGGAGGACATTTTACAGAGCTTAACCCAGGGGCCACCAGACAGCTCCAGGGGCTCCCCAGGGCAGGGGAGGAGACTGTCCACGTGGAAGACAGGGAGCTGTGTTTCCCTCTGACTCAGTGCTGCACAGCCCTGAGCCAGGTGTCTTCTCTCTGTGACCCCAGTGTCCTCCTCCGTGGCATGGGGAGATTCCCACCATGTGTCTGCTGTAGGTTGGAGGGAGCATTTGTAAAGTGAACCAGACCCAGGTACCAGGAGCCCCATGGGGGTCCAGATGCCATCTCTCACGGCTCCTCGGATGAGGGTTCCTGGTTTGGGGTTCAGAAACCACCAGTCCCCATTGTTATGCCACGAGCTCATCATACTGCAGCAGATGGGCAGCAGGGGCCCAGGCAAGGGCCCACCTGGGCAGCTGGTTGCCCACGCCCTGCTTCTCCGACCCTCTGAGCTCCAAGCTCTTGGCTTCTCTTCCACACACCCCAAGACCACCCTGGGAGAGCAGAGCTGGGGAGGCAGTCCCCACACCTAACCCTCTACTCCTGCTTCTCCCAGAGTTGGGGCCCCCACCGGTCATCTCGGCCAACGCCAGCTCCGTGGTGGAGAACTTGGATTCCGTGGCGGCCGAATGCCACACCAACGCCTCCCACATCGAGTGGTACCGGAACAGCGTGCCCATCTCGGCCAGTCAGCGCATAGCAATATCTGCAGACGGCAGGACGCTGGTCATCCGCAGGGTCAGCCGCCATGACAGGACTCTTCAGTGCGTCATACAGAGATACGAGAGCTTCCCAGACATTCTTCAGAAAAGTGACACCATCTCTCTGACTGTGGCCTGTGAGTGCTCTGGGGGTGTGGGTGGGCGAGAGGCCAGGGGCAAGGCCTTCCTGGGACGTGGCCATGAGGCAGGCAGATCAGAAGAGCCGGCAAGCCTGCTTGGTCCGGGTTCGAATCCCGACTTCGAATCTTCTGCTCTGGATCAGGAACTTCCCCCACCCCACTCAGCACCATGCTGACTCGGTTTTCAAGAGGAACCCATGTCCCCATTTCTGTGATTAGCAATGGGCCCTGGGAGGTCACCGAGCTCTGGCTTTGTACAGAGGGGGCTGCTTACAAGAAAGCGGTTCTCAGAGGATCAGTGTGAGTTGATTCCGTCGATTAAGTTTCCAAGCCTGTGGAGGTGCACGGAGACCAGCACACACCCTGGCCTGCGGCACACCAACCTGCGCTGTCACTGGAGGTCATCTCCCTGGGACTGAGGGGCCCCTAGGGCTGATGGTGGCAGACGCTGTCACTACTCCTAAAGTCGCTGACAGGGCTCCCCTGCTTGGTGGCAGGGGGTCCTGACCAGCTTGGGGCACAGAGTGGGGCCTCTCCTGGCTGGAGAGGGCAGAAGCGCAGCTGCAGGTCTCCTGCCCTGTCTCTGCAGATGGGCCTGACTACGTGAGCCTGTCCACCAACCTCGAGGGCTTCGACGGCGCCCTGACGGCTGGCATCGGCTCCCAGGTGCAGCTGGAGTGCTCTTGTGATTCCGACCCAAGTCCCAAGTACCACTGGCTCCACAACGGCTCCCTGCTGAGCTCGGATGCAAACTTGAACTTCTCCCTCGTGGCCTGGGAGCAGATGGGCAATTACCGATGCATCGGAGAGAACCTGGTGACCCAGCTGGCCTTCTACGGGGATGTCAGGATCCAGCCTCCCCGTGAGTGCCACAGCCCCTCCCAGGTCACCTCTCCAGGTCTCCCCTCCCTGCTGTGCCTAGACAGTGCCACCCCATGCTCA